ACGTCCTCATTTGTGACCAACTTCAAATGCCCGAAATATGTATCCTTTATCCTAGACGGAACCTTCTCAATGTCTTTCCTAAAATCATCCCCACAACATCTAAGTCCTGTGACTAAACAAAATTCAGACATCGAGAACCTCAAGAATCTATTAGCAACCTTGAACCACATCTCATTCGGATTAGGTTGCAACACTTCCCTCATCAAAAAATAGTGAATGAGTTGTGGCTGCATAATGATTTCATGACATTCCATAAAATGAGAAAAGCAAGTTTCAGCCAGAATTGACCTTTGGACCTCATTGAACTTCGAAAGGAAATTTGTGAGTACGTGTTTGGCCACATTTGTTGTTATCTTCCCTGGAAACCATGAATGTTCTGGTATAATGTATTGCCATTCCTGAGTCACAACACATCAATAAGAATGATATCAGACAACAATAACCATGCACATCAAAGGATTGTGACCCAATGATCATCACACACCGTAAACATCGCTGTAATTTATGTATTGTGACCTAGGTACGATTATTTTGGGCGAATGATCATTGGGTCACAAAACGAAAAAATCTCGGTCACAATATGGAAAGCACATCAAACCGTACACAAAAGTCGACTTACATTTTCCGTTTTCGACCGTCGAGGGTTTACAGGGGTTGAAGGGTTACGCTTGCGAGCCCTCTTCTCCACTTTCAGTCCCGGTTTGCAAGGGATGTTGGATTTCTCTCCACGCCGCTCCTTCGCAACAATCGCCTTTCCCCTGCTCCGTCGTGCAGATTCAGAAGGTTCACCGGCGTCGGCACAACCCTTCCGGTCGCGACTTCGCGTTAACGTCATCACTCCTACACACCGTTCCCAAGTCAAAAATCACCCACTTCCCTTCCCTCTTCGACACTGCCTTCACAAAAATCACAGCCTTCCTAAGTAATATCAAAGGAATGGAATTTGGGGATTTGGGGATTTCGTGAGAATTCAAAATGCATAGACTCATACGGTTTAGGTAAGTATATTTAAGATTTTCAATGAGCGCGAGTTTTAAGGTGTTTAGCAGTTCTGGACGGTTACTGAAGATTGAGTTTACTTATTTAACATTCTCTCTCCACTCTTCACGTAAAAAACGGGTAGGTTATTATAAATAAAAAAATCTTTTTTTTAATTGCTTAAAACCTGATTAGTGAAAAAATAAATATTAACCAGGAATAATGAAAATTGATTTCTAATAACAGGGGAGGGTGTAATTTCCTAAAAAAAAATAATTTAAAGAATCGCTCGATTCGATTTGGGACTTTTGGACACCCTATCGATAATTAACCTCAATCAGGCCAGCCCAGACCCGTTACATGACCGAATTCAGGTGCAAATTCGAGTCCGGCTGAAGGCTCAAGTTCAGTTACTGGAATAACTTGATTCCCCTCCCAAAAGTAGGCAATCAAAATAAAATTAGGTCAAAATCAAACCTAATTCAGTACTCTATTAATAAGATTGGCTACATCCATCTCTATTTTCTCGCGAATCAGAATTAAATTCGATCGCCATCAGATTCTGTTCGTCCATTTTCAGTCTTGGCTCTGGCGTTACTATTGAGAGAAATCAAGAAATTGGATTACTGAAATCGACTGTAAATGGCAACAGCAACATACCCACCGCCTCCGCCGTATTACAAACTCTACAAGGATTATATACAGAACCCCAACTCAGCTCCCGAGCCACCACCCCCAATCCAAGGCACTTATGTTCTCTACGGAGCAAATTACACCGTAATATAGCAGAAACTTCTACTAATTTTTATTTCTACTCTTTCTATTCTGCTGTCGAATTTGAAATTCTGAATGAAAAATAGCTCTGTTATAATGGGATTTGTGAATTAGCATTCACACACGATGGTCTTCAAAAGGTTCTTGTCCAATCTTTCTCAGGGTTTTCTTTTTATCGGTGATGGGTTTGAGTTGAGGATGAGGTTGAATAAACATTGGTAAAAAAATTAGAGAGAAATTTGCCCGAATTAAGTGAGTAATTTTATTGGCGAATTTGATTCTTTTGGAGATGTTTATATTCTTGTCCAGATTGACATACATTGGAGTAGATGGAAGCTATTTCTCTACACATTGTTATTTATTGCTCTGGAACTAAGTAAATCATCCTCAAATTTTGTAAAATTCAGTTGCAAAAAGTTTATTTTATTTTCTTTTGAAGTATGTCGAGGATAACCTTGTTGTGAACTTTTTATGCAGACTGATGATGTGCTTCCTACTCTAGAAGAGCAGGGTGTCCGTCAATTGTACCCAAAAGGGCCAAATGTTGGTATGATTTGCATCCTGCCTCACTCTTGACAATATTTTCGCAATCTGATGGATGTTAAATCAGTCACTATACTAGTTTACTACCATCGGTGTCAGGTATGATTTGCATCCTGCTTCACTTTTGACAATATTTTCGCAATATGATGGATATTGAATCAGTCACTATACCAGTTTACTACCATCGGTGTCAAATTTCAAGCAGTCTGTTGGCCTTCTCCATGTCATTTTTAATGTTGAGGCTTAATAATATTTGCTTGGCTTACATTTTTTCTCCATTGATGCTTGAAGTTCGGAAGTAATTTGCTTGTCATTATCTAATGGCAAGCCCTCAAGATGCAATTGGCTTCTATATAGCTGTGGTTTCACTATTTGTTTAGATTATCATAAAGTAATCTCTTGTTAAACTACATAGTGTTTTACTTAGTCTTTAGAGCTCCCAATCAGCTATGCACTGCTGTCTTGTAAATCTTGTGGATATACTTATTTATGTTATTGAAGGCCACAGTGTATTTAGATTGCATGTGAGTTCTTAACCAATCTCAGCTCCTTATTTACAAATTAAATTATGCCAGATGTCATAGACATGTTGCATTGATGCTGTGACTAGAAAGGTAATTTCTATTCTTTTACAGTTGTATTACTATTTTAAATCAATTGGCATATGCACTGTGGACAGTCTGCATTGGATTATACCCAGTGCTATTTGATACATTTAGGTCAGTAATATAATATTCCTAGATATTATTTAATCATGAACGAAAGATTAAAATACAAAAGATTATTTATTTATTTATTTTTTTGGCTGCGAGGAATTTCAAACTGAAGCCATGGTCAAATTTGTTTTGAAGCTCTAAAGTCAAGAGCCGTTTCTAAGTGTTTTCCTTTTACTTGTTAAATAGTAATAAAAGTAATCCCGACATCTGATAATAATTTAATCTCCCCTAGATTTCAAGAAGGAGCTAAGATCACTGAACAGAGAATTGCAGCTGCACTTGTTGGAGCTTGCTGATGTTCTTGTGGAGCGGCCGTCACAGTATGCTAGGAGGGTGGAAGACATTTCTCTTATTTTCAAGAACTTATACCACCTTCTTAATTCTATGCGGCCACACCAGGTGAATTTTTTCTCTCTGGGCTAGATCTTTTGTCAACTTATCTTGGAGGAACTTGAAGGTATCAGCACCAGGCTTTTTTGTCCTTTTTCTATGTCAGGCCAGAGCAACACTGATCCATATCCTAGAACTTCAGATACAAAGACGCAAACAAGCTGTGGAGGACATTAAGAGGTGTGTTGCTTTTCATTTTTTCTACTGCCTTTGGAAGTTATTGTGAACATTACATATTAGTTTTCTAGAAATTAATTCAGACAACTTGTTTTACTGGTAGCCTAGCACAATCAATTGGAACAACATACTAAGATCCACTATGCTTTAATTTCCAAAAAAATATTTAGCACTAACTAGGCTTAAACCACAATACACTTACTATTGATTGGCTTTATTTTGCACGAACCTGTTTCACATTTTACAGGGTGATTTCAAAAGTTTTAGGAAAGTTTTGAGAGCATCCTAAAACTTTATGGAAGAGATATTATGACAAGCTCATAAAGCCTTTGGTTGCGATCAAGTCGGATATGTAAATAAGGGATGATTTTGAGGGAGAAATCAACTCCACCCCATCTTGGCAATGTAGAGAGGGGTTATGATTAACATATTTACAGTATTAAAATCCTAGTTATCGAAACAAAGGGGCTGCAAAATCGTGGTCGCTATGGTGGGATCCTGTAAAAATCCATATGCCGTGGTAATTTAGGGAAGCCTTTGAGTTTAAAATTCTACCAAAAAATACGATTTATTCTAGTGCTTTTGACCATGTGAAGTTGGGAAAATTTTATAGCATCTGATGTAAGTTTTAAAATATCTGAAATTCCTTTTCTATCCTTTCTATCGATTTATTTCTTATAAATTTTCTTTTCCATGTTGCGAAATTATTATTTAGGGTGTGTTTGAGCCACATTATTTTTGGAAGAATGTATTTTGGAATAGTAGATTGATAGAAAATGTGTGGTTGAAAAAGAAGGAAAAGTTATTGATTTGATAGAAAATATTATTTTATTGAAGAATGTGTGGTTAAAAATGAGTAGAATAATGAGAATGAAAATTTTAATGTGGCTCAAACTGTGGCTTACTTAATTAAAAATTAATTAATTTTTTTTTCTTCAATAGTGGTAAAAATGCAAAATATATTGATTGCAATTTGAATTAAACATATTCTTTATTTTGATTTTGATTTTGATTCCTATTTATGGTTGGATGAAATGTGACGGTAATTTTTTTTTGGGGGTAATCCCACTCCGATTGGTATAAATGTACATGATCAACAACTTGACATAGAAATAGGATTAGAGATTAGGAGAAGAGAGAAGAGAGAAGTAAAAATTAGGAGTTGAAAATCTCAAATATATCAATGAGCAATATAATCTCAACAAATCCACAGAGAAACTGGTTCCTTAGGTTGTATGCTTGGATATAATTGAAAAGTTGAGTAGAATGGTTCTCTTGATCTGGGAATAATACTATTATATGGGACTTGTTTGTCTTGAAGATGCTTAGAATGGGGCAGATGATTGATGTTTGACTTTCTCTATTTTATTTGGGCCAGGGGTTGGAGGAGGAGTACTACTCTTGATAGGGTAAATCTCTTCTCGAAATAAAACTTAGAGCTTGTTTGGGAGAGATTTTTTGGGGAAGAATTGATTTTGAATTGTGATATGATGGGAAATGTGTGGTTGAAAAAGAAGAAAAAATTATTGATGTGATGGAAAATATTATTTTATTGAAGAATGTGTCATGTGTGGTTGATTATGAATTTTGAATTGTAATATGATGGGAAATGTGTGGTTGAAAAAGAAGAAAAAATTATTGATGTGATGGAAAATATTATTTTATTGAAAAATGTGTGGTTGAAAATGAGAATTGATTTACTGTAGAAAATTCTAATCCCTCCCAAACAGAGCCTTATTTTTTCTGTAAAAAGATTTTTCGGTAAATGTGTATCCTAGTTTGGTAAATGAAGTTGCTATTATCACTCGTTATGAAAAACGGCTTAATATGGATGACATTAGTTTAATATTTCGAGATTGTTCTCTCTTGAACAGATACTGAATAATTTTCCGTGTTTATTGGGGATTATTAGTTTGTATAAGCACCCTGTTCCATACAGTCTACAATTCATTTAGCAGTTGTATTCACCGACGAGCAATTGGATATCCCTTTTAAATGTGCTTGTTCTCATCTGAATCTGTGAATTGAAAATCATTTTTGTTGGTTCAGGAGAAGAGAAGAAGCGCAAAGACTTCTGCAGGAGGCCATCGGAACCTTAGATGGTCAGTAGTAGAGAATAATAGTTTCGAGGTGAAACTGTGCTGCTGCAACATTTGATCATTTTGCACACTTCTATTATATCATAATTTGTATACTGCAGGAACGGCCAAGCTAACCATTCTAAAAGATGGCATTATATATTTTCTTGAACGTGGTTCCTTATGAAGTTCTAAGTGGTTTAAATCTAGATTAATTTGATTCGAGAACTAACATATAAACATAAACTAGGTTGATGACTCTCTTAAATGGGGTAGTCGAATCTAAACTTAATTTTCGCGTATCTACCTTAATAAATGCTGCTAGTTACACGTACAACTATCACACTGAATATTACTCTCATAGTCTCGTTAACTTCAAAAAGCTGAAAATCAACAGCATTAAACTAGTGACTGCATATCTAGTGGATGGCAGTTGAAGTGTTTGATGGCATTACATAGGATAGGAGAGTTGAGCCTTGCTCAATCCATGGTTGGGATAGCATTAATTTTATTAAAACTAATCCTATCCAATGAATTTTTAATTAGGAATAATAGTTCATCTGAATCATCTTAATCCGTAGTATGTAGAGTATTAATTTCATGCAACTTTTCTTTGATCTCTAATCCCTCTTTTTGTCATGAAATTCACTGCTTTATTTGAATTGGCATGGTTTTTGAAAAGTTGAAAGTTGCTCTTGGGACTAAGAAACTGTTTTTGGGTCTGTTTGGATGATTTTTTGAAAGTGTTTTAAGCTAGATTAGATTTACATAAAGCGTTTTACTGAATGACAAAGTGAATGCTAATTGCAACGAAGTAATGAGGAGTAGAAGATGTTTAACTCAACCGAATTTACGAGCTACTTTATTCTGCCACTCTTACCCTACACCAACTCCATTCTACTTAATATATAGGCTTTACTTTCATGGATGCATTTGCAAGGTGTGGAGGAGGTCTTGTTGATGCTCTGAACACTAACATTTATGGGAATGGAAACCAGATTATTGTTCTATCTCGTGGTTATGGAACAGACCAGTGTGTTTTGCATTAACTCGTACCCGCCCTTGCATATTATTTCAAGGTAATAGTCTTTGATTTGTTGATCTCACCAAACGTTAATCCTAAGCGCTATAATCCCCAGAAGTATGAACATTAGTTCAGTGCATATGCACAAGATCTGATTTGCCTTCTCGATGAGCTTCAACTGCGAGAGGCATGATCTATTTGGGGCACTCCATTTTAGCCATGATCTTTTTGAGCATCTCATCCTTCTTATTTATTTCTTACATTAATTTTCTTACTCTCGATAAATATAAGAGGATACAATGGTGGACATAACAAAAAGGAAGTAAACTTGACGTTAAAACACAACTTTTCCAAGTGGATGCATGAATTTGTTCCAAGTGCCGTTGGTGCGAACAATACTGCAGCCATAGCTTTAAGTAGAATAAAACCAGAAATTGCGCTAAGCGCTGCGGAAACATACACACGTTTTGCCTCATGTTCATGTGCCTCAGCTTCTTCTCTTACATACATGTACTGAAAAAAGTTCTTAGGATTAATTAATAAAGAGTTACCTGTAATTAATTTGTTTCATATTAATTGTTTTCTTAAATCTTAGAACTAAAAGTTTCATGTTTATGGGAAAAAATATTTTCCATGATCCCTCGAACTATGGAACCTCATGGACTTGGCTTGTGACATAAAATAGACATTAGTAGTTGTTAACAACTTGCGTAAGTGATGAAATTCAATTCAATTGATACAAAATTGAAAGTCTAGTCATCCAATTGTACGTTTAGTGAATGTCCTCAACTGTATTCGCTAGATATTAAAGTCTGCCAAAGCATGTGATTAATCGTGATAAGTCAATTTAGCGGTAATTGTGTCAATTTAAATTGGTTGTGACTTGTGATTAAGCCCAACCAATATGGGTTTATTTTTAAAAGGGAAAATTAGACTACCTCTAAAAACTAACTAATTTGAATAATACCATGATAATTAAATCAATTAATCACGTATTTAATACTTCTTAAACTATCAAAACTACAAAACCCAATTCAAATTCCGGATTTTCGAAAAAAACTGGCAGCGGGCCACGACAGCTTTATCCCTACACAAACTCGACATGCTAACACAAATTTTCTACGGATATTTCTGCTGTATTTGTCATTCTTCTGAAAATAAATCACTCTCACTGCGTATTTATTCGTCTTCAAATTTTCACCACTACCACTGTCGTCATTCCCACCACAGTACTCGTTTCATTCTTATTCTTCTTGCTTGGTGGCCTAGTACTGTTACAAGACTATTCACATCCACCATTAATATAAAAGAAGTCACCGATTCGAGAACCACTGTGAAATAATCACAAAATTTACTTCCACGAAAATGATAACGTGTGGGGTGCTCCGGTTGCTCCGATCAATGGACGTTACCTACAAAACGAGGTTGGGGCTTTCTCCCCCGTTGTACCTCTGGCGTGAGAATCAGTAGGTATTTATGAAAAGTAGGAAAAAAGTATATTGGGAGTTCAATCAGTTCGGGTTTCAAGCCACCATACATTTTCTCACATTGGGGTATTTATAGGCACCTGATGGCATACCCCCTGTTCCGTGATTAACTGTGCCACGTGTCCCTCGTATGCCTTCCCACTTCCCCACATTCTATAGCGTTGACCCCACTCGCATTGCGGTTGGTCATGGCCACGTTTCCTGTGGACGGTTTTCGTCTATCTCGCGGCCATTTATTTGGCTAAGTATAGAAGGGGTCGACGTCGTTAGCCTCATAATGGGCCCCCGGGGGGGCGTGCGTGGTCGACGTCCTGGGGGGCATGCGTTAAGTAGCGATCTCCGAGGGAAATTGTTAATACCATCTTATATCACTAGCCCCTCTGCCTCTTGTCGATATTTATCTATGAGAGGTAGCATTTTATGACGTCAAACGAAAGTTTAGGGTTCAAACTGACTGGAAATGGGAAAACGAAAATATTGCGAAAACTTCAACTGCCCGGTAGAAGGCCTTAAAGTGTGAATTTGAGGCTGGAAACGGTCTCAACTAAGGTTGCCTGATTGGGATGTTATAGAGCACTGAGAGACATTTCTAAAAACATATTATAATAGAAAATCCGACAATGGTGCAAAAAGTTATGACCGTTTCTTCTGAACAGTTCGTTTAGTCAATTTTTGGCCCTATATTTCGTGCACTATTGGAGGGAAATTTCCCCCCAAAAAATTCAAAATTTTCAAAATTTTCTCCACTATTTAAAGGGTTGGGGTGGCTCCCATCTACTCTATTTCTATTTTGTCAAAATCTTCAATCTACTCCTCCTCTTCCAAGGTAATCTCCTCTCCCCCACTTCATTCATCTCATATTTTATCATGTATAAGACATTCATTTCCTCATTCGATGAAAGCAAAGGTGAGGAGGTGAGGGGGTCGACCGACCCATTGGTGGATGGGTTGGCCGACAGTGAACCGGCCCCGACCAGCCTTGCTGGTCGGCCCTCATCGACCCGCAAGGTTGGTCGACGCTCGACCAGCCCTTCATCTGGCCGGGGGTCGATTTTTGTCCAAAATTTTCCTTGTAAGGTCGGCCAAGTCCTTTCCGAGTCAAACACTTCAATATATTCGGCTGCACTTCAAGATTTCCACCCGATTTCTCCAAAACGCCATGTTGGGTCCACTAAATCTTTAAATCAAAAC